CACCGCTTGTAGCGTCGGCGCGACATCACTCTGAGTCTGAAGCGCAAAGTTTACAATGCAGCCGTCCGTTCAACCCGCCTATACGGTTGCGAAGCCTGGCCCATCAAATCGACAAACATAAAGAGACTAGTGATGTTCAACTGATGCTGTCTACGCAGCTTAGCTCACATCTGGTGGGAACACCGAGTGAGTAATGAGCGTGTTCGGCGTCGCGTATTTGGTGCATGAAGAGCGAGTGAATCGCTTACCACCATTATATCGCGCACCAGTCTGCGTTGGTTGACCCACGTGTTGCGCATGCCAGCAAACTGACTCCCGCGTCGTGCATTGTTTGCGCGCTGGGATGTGAATGGGAGAATATGAGGGGAGCCCAAGCAATGAATTGGTCAATCAGAATGAAGGCCCTCGCTTCGAACTTACCGTCGGTTAGTGTCTCCTGACTGCCGGGCTGAAGTCCCGAGGACAATGAACACGTTTGTTTGGGTAACTAGTTGACATGACGAGGAACCGACAACAATAGCGTTTGTGTTGAGAGTTATTTTTCGTCCCCCCTCCCCCTCATGCCGCTTGTCGTTCATCCTCAAACCACGACCTTCGTCTTGAGGCGTAATCTTACTAAGCTGTATATTGTTGTTTCTGTATTTTATGATGTTTTGTCTCGTTTCTTCATATATCTTAGCTTTTTATATTGCGGCACAATAGCTGAATTGTGTTTCTTACATTAAGTTAATATGCAATGATAATGATGAGGTTTCAGCGATCTCACACTATCCGTTGCTTACACTCGATTTTTGGTGGTCACCTGGCAGTTGTACTACGTACCGTCGTACAACTGGTTCTTTTCTGTCATCATTTTATTATGTAACTCTTCAGACTTGTAGTTTTATCTACAAACCTACGCGTTTCTTTAATGCGTCGATACCCACCATTGGTAGTTGTACTCTTTGGGTCACCTGACTAACTCCTGCTTCCATGATCTACCTCACTGGAAAAAGGAAGTCGAAATCAATCTTTTGTTCTTTGACATACAGAGGTTGACTTATTATTTGGCAACAATTACATCTCTCGTTCATTCAGAACCGGGAACATTTGCGTCATCAGGGGCTATTAGTTCACTAAGACTCTTATTGGTGCGAGTATCTGCGTTCGAACCGATTGTTTCATCTAACGATCAACGCACTGAATGGTGAAAGTGTAAACCGGCATTGTGCGATCCATGCCAGCACAGATTAGATATAACCCACACATGAGTGGTGGATACTTTTGGATGCAGGTATTTACTCGGTCAACGGGCTGGTTGATACACGGATTAACTAATTCCCACTTAATGGACCTCATCCTCTCCCCATGTTCACTTGTGCCCTGACATTGCATCGAGTTTCTTCAGACCTGAAGAAGCTTTTGAGTCAAAAGCCGAAGGTGTATCATCATAAATATATTAACCAGTCGTCTATTAAGCCTTCTGGAATGCTGACTTCCCGATCGGTTCTGAATATGTTCCAATATGTCGTAATCATGCCAGTTGCCATTCATCCTTCAACAAACGGAGCACCTTGCTTGGTGCGTGTTGTGTATACGTATTCTCAGACCTTTGGGTGACCAAGTTGACTTCAGTTAGACATCTATACTCCCGGCACCGAGTTGCGGTGGGTCCGGTTACCATTGCTTGCATCACAAAGATAACACAAAGAAACAGTGGTAGAGAAACTTAGGTGGAATTCAACTATAATGCGGAAATAGGGATTGGAAAAAGCTGGGTGAGATTGTTCGGGTTAGAATGTTGACACGTAGATGCAAGAGACCGAGTGGAAGAACAGCAGTGACTCCGCGAATGCGCCATGCCGCCGAGGGTCTCCAACCGCTATTGTGGCACATCCCGAGGCTCTTATTCACGAAGACTGCATGTACCAGTTCGACCAGCCTTCTCGGTGAATTTCTCTATGCCCCTGTGCAACGTCATCGACTGAACTCCTCACAGAGACCGCACATTGAAATATCCGGTCAACAGACATGACCTACCCAGCGCAAACAGTAACTTTACTTGGTCGAGTGGTAACTTCGTTCCGAATTCCAAAATATGCGTGGCAGTAGTATGTGTCTGTTTGCTAGATTTATTCGTTTCACTTACGTTTCTGACACATCACATCGATTAGCGGTTATGTGTAGATAGCTGCATTGGTTGAATACGCTGGTTCCGCGTTCGCATTGCCAGCCGGTAGCCTTAAGCAAAACATGCGTGCCTTGTAATCTGAGAGCGCGGGTTCTAGCCTGCGTAAGGACCGGGTACTCCTCGTAGCATCCTTAGCCCACGTGCGACGTGGTGGTTGCGCAACAGCGATGCGTCGGTAATGCATGACCGCGTACTACTGATGCATTTCTTTCCCATTGCACGGATACTGGTGTTAAGAGTAAGGAGGCATATGCCATGCTTTTTCTCTTCAGTCGCAGTCTTGAAGTTCGGTGGTGTGCGGAACGTAATGGTTCGTCTGGGCTGGACTGATTTGTCCCATTAGAAAGCATGTACTCCCACTATGGGTATATGTAAGCGACTCGAATCATGTCCATTCTCGATTCTGGAATCACACTTCTCAGGCGATCTCTCTCCTCAATTCCTCCTGAGTCAGATCATCAGGTCCAAGGCCAAATGGGATCCGCTAAACAATCTATGCTTATCCTACCCTGTCTAGTGGATCACTTGTACTTCAAAGCCAGACACTGATTACCAAAAAAATTTCCCGTAGAAATTAGTTTGTTTGTTTGATCGAACGCAATCATTACAGCAAAATGAACAATTCGATAATCCTTTCGGATGTTAGCGATTATTGGTACGCGTTCGTTGTCGAATATACCAGACCGCTGGCTTGCCGAATAACCTCTTCGTAGTGCTAGCTGGGTAGTTCGGGGTTACCCCGTTCCAGCAAGTTGTTCGGAAGCACTATTCCGTTCTGTCTGTAAACAGCCACGTATCTCTGTTTAACGACAAAGGAACGTAGATATGATTGACTGCTAAATAAGGTCAATGCCCTTTGCTTCATTCTGTTGGAGCATTGTACTCCACTAATCTGCAGCTGACTTCGTGGGGAGGATTGGGCCCATGTTTTTGGCAAATAGCTAAATAAAAGCTGGATAAGCTGAGATCCAAATGTGTGCTATTTTCTGGCTTTGCGGAAGGACTATTTCGCCAATGGCTCGGCCTAGTGTCCCCTAAGACAACTCCCAACTTCGGCCTGGCACTCAGACAAAACCATGCATTAATTTTACTGTTTACTTCTATTTTTATGATAACCGGATATCATGCGTTTTGATAAGTATATGACTATCCGTACACGCATTCATTTATTTTTTTTGGAATAGCGGCATCCGTGTCCGGATTTGCCTGTCACTGTGGCCTCCATAGGACAGTCACAGGAGGCCTGCGCCTACAGGGGGACCATGGGTGGCTTGCACTGCACCACCCACAGTTCCATCCACACAGCCCACATCCAGTTTAAACCCTAAGAAATAAGACCGGCAGGCATGTGGATGGGGACCACGTTTCATCAAAGGAGTCGGCCCACACTCTTTCAACAAGCAAAGCGGAGGCATACATGCCTAATTGCGGAATCCTGCGTACCAGACGTATACAAGGCAGTGGCTGGGCCGTAGTCCGCTCCACACTGAATGGAGCCACTCTTTGAACCTAGTACGGCCACGAGGACCGTGCACCCAATCTCTCCAAGCAACAACTAACTTTCTCCTTGGGTCAGTATAATCTAGCTAGCGGTTTTTTGACAGGCATATTGTCAACGATCACCTAAAGTGCAGCCACTCCAGGGATATCGATCAATAAACACACTGTATGAAAGAATATAAACACCAAAACCTGACAGTAAAGCGAGCAGAATAACAAAACTGAGCAACTCAAAAACTGCGCATTATTTTTGCTCTGATGTACGGATTATCTAGAGAAAGTATAGGTGTAATATAGAGAATATCAACCAACTAACACAGAAACTGAAAGAAGTAAAATCGCACAAAGTAAAGACGAATATGCAGATCATTAACAGAAGTGAGCAATTAAAATTACATGGATTCAGTCGGATTTAGTGTGACGCGTAACAAGCTGAGTTTAAGTCACCATAGACCGGCTGTGGTGATGTAGCATAGTGTACTCAATGCATCGAGCCTTCGCCTTGTGTACGTCTGGCACGCATGATTTTCCAAATGAAATAGACAGCAGTGCTGCTGCTGTGCATGTTTAAGGAGTGTGTGCCGGCTCTGTTGATGAAACATGGCTCCCATCCACATGCCTCCCGGTCTTATTCCTTCGGGTTTACACTAGATATGGGGTGTGTGGTTGGAGCTGTGGGTAGTGTACCGCACCCAGCCATGGTTCCTCTGTAGGCACATGCGTCCTGTGGCTGTCCTACAGAGGCCGCAGTGACAGGCAAATCCAGAAACGGATGCCGTCAGCCATATACCGATATTTTACTCGCCTAATGCTCATGTCTGTACTGTCTTATGCTCTACTATCAGCACTGTGGCCATGCACTCCCGATGTTGTTCAACAGGCTCATGTATCAGCGTCTCTACACGCGACTCCCACCACTTCCGAGGATCGGAATACACCAACCAACGAAAGTCCAACGATGATACGACCGTCGATCGAGTGGCTCATATGCCTGGCTTGTAATACAGAGGTCCCAATATGCATAGATGCGGATAACCCCGCAGTCCGCACGTGACTATCGGTGGTCATGTGATTGCGAAGTGTTTTCACAGGGTGTAGTGTCGATGTGTTAATATGTCTTGCTTCCTAGCTCCATGGTGAAATCATCGTCGCGCGCTATCAAGCCTCCTTGTAGTTGCTGATTATTTTTCCTCCTAATTCCTCCTACAGTACAAACCAATCGCTATTACTCTGTAATTACTCTTTCTGACGCTTCTCTGGTTGTTTCGGTTGACGTTCTCCTAACCTTTTTGCGTTCCTTGACTGTATGCATTGTTTTTTTGCATTCCAGACGGAGAATTGCTCAATCTGTGGATGGGGACTCGACTCCTAATTCGTGGTTGCTTGCAAGTTACGGAATTATACACACTTTTTGGAAGCGTCCGCGAGGCGCGTGCTTATCAGGATGAGCTTCTTCGGATCAGTCAACGTTTTCACCTCGTCAGCTGGTTAGTTTGTGCATTTTCACTCTTATTTGCACACTTTGTTTTCTAGAAGTTGACTTTCGTAGAAACGACGGGCTAGGTTGGATTTTGCTTATACTGGTTTAGTTTACCGGAAACCTCACCGAGCGCCGCCAAACAGTTCCAAGTGCCTGGGTGTCATCAGGTCCCAGTATTTGTAGTTAGTACGGCAGTTCAGCTGTGATTATGAGGCAAAGTTCTCCACCGCAGAATTTTGTCGTTGCTGTTATGTAGACGTTGAACTTTACTACGTGTACATCGCGTCCTCCAAGTGTAAAGTATTTTAACGAAATTAGTTTTCAACCGGCAAACAATCACTAGGATTAGTAGATGCTCCTACATGTTTCAATGAGATTGAACCATAACGTAGTGCGATGGTCTGCGTGCCTCCGTGACCCACTGAGATACGCTGAGTGGCACTTTTCAAGTTCCTCCAAAGCCATTCATGCCAGACAGGTTAATCGTTAGGAGTCAGACTAACTCACTCACGATTCAATTTTCTTCTGAGGTTAGGGCGAGGTCGATGGCCCTCTTCCCTTAAACTTACGCATGGGGGACGACAGGTTTGGGGTTATAAGCTCACTGCTCGACTGGCGTAGAGCAAGAGCGACACGCATTGTGTCTGACAGTGGGAAAGCACCACCCCGTGCCCAATAGTTTGCTGTTGCCCGGTTTTCTCTAATCACCCCTCGTCAAATTCGTGCAAACCCGCCAACCCTCACCTGCTATTGGTTGTTGTCGCAGGTGTGTAACATGGTTGGCGACATCCGGTTCTGGGTCTGCTTGTCACTGCGGTTTCAATAGGACAGCCACAGTGACCATTGGTACCTTACGCTTCGCAACCCAAAGCTCCATCCACACACCCCATATCTGGTGTAAATCCGAAGGAATAAAACCGGTGGGTATGTGGATGAGAGGCACGTTTTATCAACGGAGCCGGCTCACACTCTTTAAACATGCACAGAAGCGGCATTTCTGTCCATTACATTGGGAATCATGCATACCAAACATACACAATCCGGTGGCTGGGCATAGTCCGCTCTACACTGAATGAAGCCACTCTTTGAGTCTAGCACGTTCACAAGGATCGTGCACCTTGTCCCCCCAGCTGCGATTCACAGTCTCCTGGAGCCGGTAATCGATAGGCGTCTTGTCACAATTCACATCAACCGCCGCCGCACCGGCGATATCAATTAACCAACACAGAATTTGAAGGCAAATAAACACGCAAAACCAACATGGAATAACATCACTGACCAACTCAACTAATTTTGATTGCTTTTTCACCCAGCCTTAGAAGATTTAGTCTAAGTGTAACACAGTGTAGCCCAGCTACGGCGTATAAGCATAATGTATGCAGCATCGACCTCGGCGTAAGCCACCACTTAGAATACGGAAGAATATGAAAGATAAACATGCATACCGGAAAGTAAATATGAGGCAGAATGACTTAAATGAGCAAATTCAAAAAGCATATGATTTCTTTTCTATTGGTAGGGTTTTCTTGGCCAAGGGTAGGTTAGGTGATATCAACCGACTAACATCGAAAATGAAAAAGGAAAGACTCGCGAAACAAACGGGGCATGTCTGCGACAGATAAAAAAATTGAGCAATTCAAATAAAATGCATTAGGTCGGATCTAATTTAATGCAGAGAAAGCTAAGTATAAGTCACCCTAGCCCAACTGCAGTGAAACATAATAATCCCAACATATGTGGTTGGCGGCATCCTGTTCTGTATTGGTCTGTCACCGCAGGCTCCGTGGAGACAACCACTGGACGCCTGGGCCTACAGAGGGACGGTGCACCCCGTCACACCTAGCAACGGCCAACTGTCTCCTGGAGCGAGTGTAGGCTAGGTGAAGACTAACCGACAGGTAAGCACCTTGTCAGCGTTTACATCAGGCGCTTCAACACCAGAGATATCAATCAACAGCCAACACCTGAAATACAAGAAAATCAACACGTAGGCGCACGTACAGACCAAATGCGATGAGGATGTAGCACACGTACCACATCAACCGTCTGCTTGACCCGAGTTAGTAAATCGAATGGAAGCGGATACGGCTTACTTTCGAACGCTGCGCTGATGCTGATCAAATAATCAACTGACTCCTCTTTTGGATGCTGCACGCGGGGCCAGGCTCCTAACACTACACGGTCGTAAAACGCAAGTGCATTGTTTCAAGTCTTCAAAGGCTGTGTGTGACTGGCCTCAAGCAGATTCCGACAGGTCTCTGCAGTCCCACTCCCTTGCTGGACTTGCTCTCCACTGCATTGTTGGTCAAACTGTTGAGTCAAAGGCTAAAGAGAGGGCACTTCGAACAAAACCCCTCTCTCGGAATGGGCAGCGGGAGAGAGAGTATCATCTACCCACACGACTCCGTTGATAATACTCCCATTTCTGCGTTTTTTCCCTCTCAACTAACTTCTTACCTGTCTATTGAGCAGAAAACTGCCGCTGTACTCGCAGCTGCTGCCATCGTTACATGTAGCTCGTCCACCAAACCTAGAGTTTCAGTTCACACTGGTTCTTTTGACGTGTGCATCCTAGGTCAGATTAGTCAGTAGGCAGCGCTAACTCTCACTCTCCACTCTCTTCGAATTGATGTGTCCTGTTTCTTTGAAACACGCATACAAGATAACAGCGTTGTCACAAATCTTCGATTCTGACGAGGATGGCTACACGCTTCGCGTTTCTGGCGATACTGATTCCTTGGCTCAAGGTATTTACGGTGTTGGTATCACCATCAACAAATATGCTGGTGGCAATCTGCTCGACTGGTTGCCGGTGAACGGCTGCAAATGTGCGGTTCGGCTTCGAACTTCTGTTAGGGTTACCAGGCACTGTACGAAGACAAGGTGCCTTTTCATCGCCTCAGTTTATGCCCCTACTGAATGTAGTTCAGAGGTTGTCAAAGACGATTTCTATGGGTACATCTCATCTCTTCTTCGCACGGCGAAGAATACTGACATCGTGGTTATTACTGGTGACGTGAATACTCGTAGGCAGTCTTCCAGCCTCTGAACAACACTTTGGAGGCGGCTACTTTCTTGATGCACGCCAGATAGGCAGTGGTGATCGATTCCTTCAACTGTGTGCTGACCACAACCTTTTCCATAGTAGCACTGCTTTCCAACACAAACGTTCATGCCGCGTCACTTGGCGCCCACCGAATTCCTCTATGACGTGGACCCAAATTGAACATATTGCCATAAGCTACAGATGGCGCACATCAGTCCATGACCGTCGGTCAATTTGGAGCACGTGCCTGGATTCCAACCGCGCTCTAGTGCTCGCACCTCTGCCGCTCTCCGCGCTTTAAACGCGCGCCTATTTTCCAACCTTACTTCTCACTTGAACTCGCATTCTGCAACTCAACATATCGCAACTAAATAAGATAATGACTAGTATTGCAAAATGGAACTATTTCATGTTATCTGATCACCCGCTGTCTAACAACATACTTAGGAATCACGTGACGAAGAAATAGAACGTTTGAAACTGGTCACAAATGGAAATTACTTAAACGCACGAACGACAAATCAACGAGCTTCGCCCTAAGGTCATGAGCCCCAAGGAAGCTTTAGGGAGGTGGATAACTATTTCTGGACACAAAGAACAGGGCGACGCCGGCTAGGCGTCACAGCTTCGGCAAACTTTGGGGCTTTCGTTTCGATAGATAACGGTAAACGTTGACCCAGGCTCAGCCTGATATCCTGTTTTGATTAGGTGTCTAGCAATAGATGATGCCGACAGCTTAGATAACCTTGTTTGGTTGTTTACTGGGTCGATAACTTAACAATCCGCTTTGGGATATACTCCCCAATCCGCTTACGCAAGGATCGGTCTGTTCTGCCAGTACAACTACTTCCAGAGCCACATACGATTTAGTAACTACAATGGGTTGTGGCGGCGATCGGTTGGAGAGGCTTCACTGGTGGCCTCGGCAACTTTCTGGTCTCCCAAATAGGGCAGTTTGGCAGCATTGAATATCCGGTGAGTCGCTGAGTGCAAACGTTTCAAGTTGTACGGTCACAATATCACTTTTGAAAGGTAATTAAAGGTAGATAGACACTTTGGGCACAGGAAGTAACTAACTGGCCCACCAATTGTCAGTGATGAATGAGGTTGGTGAGCCGAACGCTGACTGGGATTGTCTCAAATGTGTCATGAAGAATGCCTTTGACGCATGCAGTGCACCCAACCTGAGAGTCGTAAATGAGAGTGGATATCTGAAGCATCGATCAGTTTTGCTCGAGGCACGGAAACAGGTGCCAGTGAGCACAGAGTTTCAGCGTATCCGTAACTCTCTGAAACGATGTCTGACAAGGAGTCTTCGAATTGACCTGGCACGTTGGTGGGTGGGTGAGGGCCCGCGAAATGGGGAAAGCCAGTGCTATTGGAAACAGCCGAGTGCGAATCCAGCTCATCCAGAACACGGGTCCGAGGAAGCTATCAGTTAGCGAGACAATAGCTGAGAAAGACGGAGAGTTGATCCACTCTCAGCCTCATCGACTAGCACAGTGGACACATTTTGAAGAGCAGTTCAGCACGCCTGTCACAGCACAGTCGCTTGCCGACGTGGGAATTATATGTCACACCTCCAACTTTGGAATAGATCAACTTGAGCTTTCCATGTTGGAACGAAACAACTCTCCTTCACCCAATGACCTTCCTCCTTTTTTGCTGAAAGATGACGGTGACTTTTTGTCGACTGAACTTGCCTCTCTATCTAACACGATTTGGGACACCGAAGAAGTGCTTTTAAACTGGAGACTGTCATGCCCATCCTCAAGCGGCGTCAGCGTACTTTATCGGTGGATTAGCTTCATTCCCATTACCTTCAAACGTCTTCAACGACTTACTAGTCCGCGTGAAAACCGATTCACTGTAAACCAGGTTGGCTTCCGCCCTGATCGTGGTTCCGTCAACCACATATTTACTTTTCACCAAGTTTTATAACAGGGACCCACATGCAGACG